AGGACCATCTCGGGGCGGGGGTGGTGGAGGTGGGGGCCTGGGTGGGCGCTCAGAGAGCAGGTAGGTGAGCTGCAGCTGGAGATCAGAGGCCGAGGGGCGCTGGGCAGGGGGCCGCCAGCAGGACTGCAGGATGTCATACCTGGGGGATGGGCAAGGTAAGAGTGAGCAGGACAGAGACCCCGAGAGGCAGAGAGAGACAGAAATCTAGAGGTGGGACAGAGGCTCAGAGGGGGAGAGGGATGGAGGGATGGGGAGGCACATGGGAGGAGACGGCTGTGAGCTCTGGGATCAGACACAGGAGCAGCAGGGCTCCCTGAGAGTTAGAGTCACCACACTTCAGATCCCAGCTCTGCCACTGCCTGCCTCAGTTTCCCCCTCCAAGTAGCAGATGCCGGCAGAGAGGGTGAAGATGACCTTTCTCTACTCTTGGGGAAACAGAGAGGGGTGAGACAGAAAGAAGTAGGGGTGCTGGGGCTACCCTGGGGTGGGACAGGGAGGTCAAGGGCCCCAGGGTCAGGGCCTGGCCCTCACCAGTAGTCTGCGTAGGGCAGCTTGAGTCTCGGCCGGGCCAGCTTGACGTGCTGCTGACGGACAACAAAGGCAAGGACCTCTTCGTCTGAAAGGTGGCGGTAGGGCTGTGCCCCAAACTCAAACAGTTCCCACAGCGTCACCCCCAAAGACCTGCAAGGAACAGAGAGGAAGAGGCCTCAGTCCAGCCCTGGTGCCCACTTCTGCCAGGTGCCCCCTTGCCTCAGTCTCCCCATGGGAAGCCCTAGGTCCTGGGCCTCACCAGATGTTGCTCTCGCGGCTCTGGTCCACCACCATGAAGGTGCCGTGCAGTTCCCCGAGGAGCTCGGGCGCTGCCCAGCGCAGCGGGATCCACAGGCGCTCCGGGGTCAGGTAGTAATCCTCCTGAGGGGTTACGGGTTAGGCGGGCCAGGGCGAGGGCCCGCCCCACCCCACCCCCTTCCCGGTGGAGGGCAGCTCCACCTTGTAGTTGCTGTGGGCCAGCCCATAGTCTCCGATGCGCACCGTGAGGTCAGAAGTCAGCAGGCAGTTACGCAGGGCCAGGTCGCTGCGGTCGGGTGGGGCGAGGTGAGCGCAGGACGCCCCGCCCACTTCCGCAGGCCCCTCCCCCGCCCTAGCGGTCTCTAATCTTTCTGTCTCCTGGCTCCTCCCCTCCTCGCTGACTCCTCCCTTACCCTCTGGCTCTTCCCCCTCCTCTCCTGGCCCCTCCTCCTCCGACCTGACTTCCACTCCCTTTCCTGTCCCTCTAGTGCCTGACCCGCCCCTTCCTCACGTGACCCCTCTCCTCCACGCATCGCTCCTCCCCCACACCTGGCTCCGCCCCCTCATCGCCTGACTCCTCCTCCTCTCCCGGCTCCCCAGTCTTCCCTCACCCTCCTCTTCCTTCTCCACCTCCTCCCTCTCCACCCCTCCTGCCCGTGTTGCTCCTCCCTGCGGCCCGCCCAGCGCACCTGTGCACGTAGTTGTGCGAGTGCAAGTGTGCCAGCCCCCGGGCGATCTCCAGGCCCATCCTCTGCAGTGTCCGAAGGTCGCGTGGGGGCAGTTCAGGGGACAGGCCCTCGGGGGGCCGCTGGGCCCGGAGGTACCGCTTCAGGTCCCCCTGGGAGGGAGGCAGGACCGGTCAGCACAGCAGCACCTCCCCAGAGCAAGGATGGGGTGCCTCTGCTCAAAGTGGGGGATGCCGAACCCCCTCGCCTGCTAACTCAGGGGCCACTCATGCAGCCTGCGCTGAAGAAAGGGTAGCTCAGGGCACGGAGGCTCTGAGGACACAGTGCCGAGGTGGGGTCCCTCACCAGCTGGCAGAACTCCATAATCAGCAGAAAAGGCAGCGTCTCCACACACAGGCCTAGGCACTGGAGGACATTGGGGTGCTGCAGGCTCCTGGGGGGAGGTGGCTGGTGAGAGAAGATCCCACCCACCCCACCACCCAGCAGAGCCGAGCTGCGGTGGCAACCACTGTGCCCTCAGACCCCTCAGAGGGCCCTGCCCACCCCACTCGCACCCCATCCCAAGATGACCCCAGGGACCCCATGTGCCTCCTTACCCCCAGCCTTCATGGTTCCCTACCCTTCTCTGTCCCCTCCTCCCAACCCACAGTCCTGGCCTGCAGTTGTCCCTCCCCTGCCACAAACCTGTGCATAGCCCTCTATGGCTCCCCAGTGCCGTAGAGAGGGCTGGCTCCTTGGTGTCACCACCCCCAGGTGGGCTCCACCCTCCTGTGTCCCAAACCCCCTGTGCCCCAGGCTCGCAGGGCTTTCTGGCGGGCCCCTCCCCACCCTAGCTTCAGCACCACCTCCTCAGTGCTGGGCCTGATGCCCCTCCTGCATCCTCACACTGTGGGTTCGAATCCTGAGTCCAGCTCTCCCAGGGGTCTGTGTACCCTTCGCTTCCTCTGTCTGACTCCTGTAGAACAGAGGGCTCAGAGAGGAGCTGGCGTGCAGTAAGGGGTCCTGGCTGGTACCGCTGTTGGTACCGAACATGTGGGCTTTCATTTCGCCTTCTGTCCTCACTGCACTTCTGGGCTGCTTGGGCTCCCCCAGCTTCTGCTGTCTCCCAGCTCTGCACCTGCTGTTGCTGCTGTTCCCTCTGCCTGGAACACGCTTCCCACTGCTCTGCACAGCTGAGGCTCCACGTCAGCCCCACCCCCGTCACGTTCCTGTCCAAAGAGGTCCCTGTCCCTCACATACTGCCACAGTCCCTCAAAGCACCCATTTTCTTACCGTTTCTCCTTGGAAAATTTAGTTGTTTACTTTTTTTTTTTTTTTTTTTTTTTTTTTTTTTTTTTTTTTTTGGTACCGGGGATTGAACTCGGGTCCTTGCGCTTGCCAGGTAGGCCGCCGAACCGCTGAGCTAAATCCCTGGCCCGTTTCCTTTTTTTTTCTCAGTACTGGGGACTGACCTAGGGCCTCCACACCAAGATGCTGCCCCAGCCTTATTCATTTATTTATAGGCAAGGATTTACTAAGTCACTTCATTGCTCAGGTTGGGCACCGACTTTACAATCTTCCTGCTTCAGCCTCCCAGAATGCTGGGATTACAGGTGTGGACCGTCACACCTGAGAAGTTGTTTTTATCTATTTGTCTCCTCTGCTAGGTAAGGTGACCTTCTCTGGGGTGAAGTTTTGGGACAGTTTGTTCCCAGCTGTGTCCCCAGTGTGTAGACAAATAGGTGCTCAATAAACCTGGTGGTGAAGGACTTTACCCGCACACAGGGTTTGGAGAGTGCGTAGGAAGTTCTTTCCTGCAGAGGCCTAGCAGAAGGCAAGGGTCACTCTGCAAATGGCAGCTCTGCCATTTCCCCAGCCTTCTCCACCTGGGAGAGCGTGCCTGCCTCCCACGCCCACCTGGTTAAACAAACACAGAAGCATCTGCCGCATGCAGGACATAGGAAATGATCAGGGCTGGGAGATCTAGGAAAATGGATGCAGCTGTGGAGGCTGGCCACTCGGATTTGATCTCAGGCCTGGGGCTCAGGCAGGAAACATCTGCTGCTGAGGGTCAATGGCACTTGTCCCTGGGTGACAAGACAGACCCTGAGCTGCCGTGTGGACCTGTGCTGCCCAGCAGTTCTCTGTGAAGGCAGAAACGCTCGGGACCTGAACTGCCCGACACGGGGCTACTTATGTCTGGGGAACCTGATGTTTCGCAGATGTGGCTGGGGTATACATGCTGAGTTCTATCTCATTCTATTTAGTTGACATCTACATAGCTATGGTTGCCAGCTCAGGTCTAGGGAAAGACAGGTGAAAAGCAAGACAAGGCAGAGTGTGGTGGCACTCTGGGAGGCTGAGGCAGGAAGATTTCAAATTCAAGCCCATCCTGGGCAATTTAACAACTTTGGGAAATGCTGTCTCAAAATTAGAAACCAGAAAGAGGGAGAAGCAAAACATAGGCCAAGTCAGGAAAGAGGAGGTTTGTGGGAGAGTGTGAGGAAACAGAGGTGTCTGGGGTAACAAGAATAGTGGTAGGAAGAGAACAATGTCAGGCCGCAGGGCCTCTCAGCAGTAAAGGAGAACAGAACTTGCTCTGTGGGCGGTAGGGAGCCACAGGCAGTTTTGAAGCAAGGGAGTGCCAAAGTTCAGTATCTGTGTCACTTCTACAACGGTTCTGATCAGAGTCCTGTGCATACACAACCTTTCTGAAATGGAACTCACTACCCCACACTGCACCTAGCACAGGTCATCCCATACCTTTTGCTGCCCCCATCACCAGGACCCACAGGCTTCCTGGGCTTCCTGGGCTCACTTGTTCACTTGCTCGGGCTCAGCCTCAGCCTGCCACTGTGAGCTTCATCTGGTCTAAGAGGGAAACCCTGGGGCCCAAGCAGCGCGGCCTGGAAGAAGCAGACTGGTGATTCGAACCCACAGTGCACCTCTCCTCTTACCAATGTCTCCTCTGTGAAGGTGCAGACCTGGACGAGGGGCTGCCAGAAGCCCTGAGGCAGAGGCCTCCATACCTGTACGGCTGTGCTTCCGAGATGAACTTTCGCTGCTCCAGGGGCCCGGCGCTGGCCCGGAGCTCCTTCACCACCACCTGCGCCGGGGTGTAGTCGGAGAAGATCTCTCCCAGGATCACCTGGCCGAGGGGCAGCAGACGGAGTCAGCCATGGCCTTGTCCCCAGCCCCAGCCCCAGGGACCCCAACTACCCTCTCATTCATGGCTCCTCCCTCATACCCCACCACCCGTGTCCATCCCCCACCAAACACACAGTGAGAGACTCACGGGCCCAGACTCCGATGGGCGCAGGGACGGATGGAAGGATGGACAGACGGACGGACGCGTGGAGAGCCGGATGGCGAGGCAGAGTGGTCAAATGGAGTGAGAAGGGAGGCGCCGACCGACAGATGCGGGGAGGTGGTGGGTGGGTGCTGGTGAGGTGGATGGGGGTCTGAGAGGGTAGGGTTGGGGCGAGGGACAGATGAGAGGTGGTGAGAGCGAGGGTGGGGGATGGACACAGAACAGGAGCACGGGCCAGGTGTGTACGGACCCCTACCTCCCACCCCAGCCCACTCACCTTCCCAAACCAGCCACTCCCGATCTCTTGTAGGTAGCTGAGGTGCTGTCGGCTAAGGCCCAGGGGGGTGGTCATGTCTGGGGAGGGGGAGGGGGAGGCCCCTAAGCCTCTCTTCCCTCCCAGCTGCCACCACCCTGTCCCCCTCAACTCAGTGGTTAACTCCAGTCAAAGCAGACACCAATCGCTTTTCATTGGCTACCTTCGGCATTCCTGACAGGATCCAGCCTCCCCATTGGCTGTCCACAACATTCTAGCATCCAATCAGAATTTCCCTTTGGCATCCCACGCTCCTATGACTTGATTTGAGCCTCCCATTGGCTACCTCTGAGATTGAGCTCTAGGCTGATCTCACCATCCATTGCCCCACAAGTCTGGTTTTGGATTAAGCAATGGCTTCCACCAATATGATATCTGTCTGCCTTTCTATGGGCTACTTCCATGAATTTGGGGCTCCCACCTCTGCCTTTCCTGGCTCAGGACCCTGGCCCCAGAAGGGAAGACACTCAGTGCCCTCTATCCTGCCCCCCGGGACCATGGGACCCTGGTCTGGGTGCGGGGCAGTACCTGAGTGCGAAGGCTGCGGGGCAGGCATTGGCAGGGAGACCTCCGCCAGCGGGAGGATGTAGACATCCGGCAGGGACTGCGAGGAGGAGGTCTCCTCCGCAGGGGGCGTGTACTCCCCGGAGCAGTCCTCCCCTTCAGGGTTCTCAAACTCCTGGTGCCAGGGAGGTGAGCAGAGCACGGGCTGAGAGACACCCTGGCCTCCTCCGCTTGAGTGTGTTGCCCCATGATATTCATAATATCCTCCAGCCCAGCCCGAGATCCACCCTGGTTCCCAGATCCCAAGGCTCCAGGCCTCGAAGTCATTACTTCAGGCAACAGTGAGCTCTCTGATTTGCTGCCTCTCCTCCCCGGATACCTGGCTTGGCGGGGAAACCAGTTAGCTCCTCAAGCACCTCACCTTGAAACCGACATCACCCCTTTTGCAGCACAAACAGGTGAGGAGGAGGAAGATGAAAGCCAATAGGCCAGAGCAGGAAATGAGGACCACAGCGTAGGGAGGGGCCAGAGGGGCCCGGCCTAAGGCGACTCCATCTGTGGGCACAAGGCTGGGCTGGAGTCCGGGCTTCAAGTCCCTGGCTTCGGTACTCCGTGCCCCTCCCATCCTGGTCAGTTTTGGACTACATTTCCCATGATACTCTGAAGCCAGGGGCCCCTTGGCAGGGGAGCCATGTGGCCCACGGCTTTGTGGGAATTGTAGTTTACAGCCCTCCCAGGTGGTCGGGCTGGGGGTGGGGTTCTTCCCCTCGCCCAAGCTGGGACCTCCACACGCACTGCACCCCCTCACCTCAGGCATTAAAGAATCTGGATGAGGATTGAGGGAAGGAGTGCTAGTGAGGCCTTGGGCCCTCAGAATTTAAAATGCGCTCCCACGGCAGACTCATCACTCAGATCCCCCAACTGCAGACTCGGGGAGCGTTCTTGCCCCATGCGGCCCCCCTCAACACGGATCAGGGAATGATGAGACCTGTCTCTTTTCTAGGCCTGTCCTCTTACCCCAGCGGCAGCCCCTGAGAAGGGACACTCTGCAAGCGCTGGGTCTCTCCCAAAACCAGCCAGCCTCCGCGTTGTGTGCCTCTTAGAAATAGTATTGCTCCCCTTTGCCCCCAGTCTCCCAGAGGCCCAGCCTTCCCCGGCTCCCTGCACACACCGGCACACACACACATGCGTGCACACAAACACACATGTTGCCAGACAGGCCCCCTTCCCAGCCCAACCCCCAGCCTGCCTCCCCCAGGCCCTGTCGACACAGGCACCGTCCCCGCGGCTGCCAGGCCCAGCTCGGCGGTGCTGAGAGCGCACAGGTGACGGATGGGGAGCCCGGCAGACAGGGCCCGCAGCGGCCAGGCCGGAGTGGGGGAGGGGGCCTTGGACGGACGGATGG